GAATGGAAGAGGGGCAGGCAGGCAGCAGATAGCTACATTCCTGAGAGAATTTAGTTAGTTTCTAGTAAATCTACATTTTACATAAGATAATATGAATGTCTGGAGAGAAAAAAGGGACTAACGGAAGAGTCAGTTGTGCAGATCTCTCTGGGTAGATGGAAGAAGGAGTCTTGCCTTTGTTCTGCACCTGGGAAGATAAGCGTGTAATCAACATTATCAGTTTGGAGTTTTAGGAGCTACACTTAGGTTGCAGATCTAAAGTTACATTTGGCATGTCCTTGTTTATGGGAGGCCAGGAAAGAATTTGCTTATGAATGATATGGAGGCTGTCCTTCCCAGATGCCTGAGGTCTTTCATCTCTCCATGGGCGACCTGGCAGGTGCATAATATTAGTGAAAGCTATTCATTTGGAAGAGGATGTTGCAATGACTTTCTCTTTTGCAGAAGTAGTTTGGGGGACCCTGAGATTTTTATTTTCCTTTACTTGACTAAGATACAGCAGTAAGCAAACAAAACCCACACACACACCCAGCATTGTTGCTTTAGATAATGTTAGGCTAGACTCTTCACTGCTTTCTATATTCCATGCTTTCCCTGCTGCCAACCTTCCCCTATGTTCGTTAAAGAAAGGAAGACAGAAAGAAAGATGGAAGAAGACACATAGCATATTGAACCACATTGACTCATCATTGCTTACTGCAACTGTGTAGGAAGAGGATGGATGACCCCCAGTGAGTAATGAGGCTCAGAGAGAGCTGAGGGTCCCCAGGTCATCCAAGGTCAGCTCGACTCCATCGTCCCATCATTACCCCACTTGCTTCCTTGAGAGTTTAGAAAACTGAAGATTTTTCTAAAGACAAGAAATTAGAACTGAAACAATCATTGGAGCTATCCAGCTCAAGTCCCTTGGTAAAGATTTTTTAAAAAATAATCCTGACTGGTACATCGGTGTGTTCATTTTCCATTGCTGCTGTAACAAATTAAAGCCATAAGAAAATATTAATGGCTTAAAGCAGTGCAGAATTATCTTACAGTTCTGGAGGTCGAAAGTCCAAAATATACTAACACTGACCTGTCAGCAGGGGTTGTTCATTTCTGAGGATTCTCAGGGAAAGTACATTTTTTTGGCTTTTGCAATTTCTGGAGGTCTCCATATTCCTTGGTTGATGGTCCCCATGGGGGCCACAGGCTCTTGTCCCCCTAAACAGTTGCTGAAATGTCACTGGCGTGTAACAGGTTGGTTAATCAAAGAAAGACATACAAGTTTATTCAACGTGTATACCCAGGAGACTTCAGAATGAAGACCCAACCCAACAGTAAGAAACAGAAGCTCATATTCCATACCGAGAAAGAATGCAGACTCAGCAAAGCCAAAAGCAGGTTATGTTGCTAAATCAGGTTTAGTGGCAAGAAAGGTTTTGAGAAAGAGTTTAAAGGAAGAGACCTGGGTAGCAAAGGTGATCTTGTTATAAAGGCGAAATCTCCCTCAGAGAGAAGAGGTGGTCAAGGTTTCTTTTCAGATTTTTCCCCCTTTTACTTTAGATTCAGGGTTATATGTGCAGGTTTGTTACAAGGGTAGATTGCATGATGCTGAGGTTTGGGATATAATGAAACCCATCACCCAGGTAGGGAGCGCAGCACCCAATAAGTACTTTTTGTTTATTTATTTATTTTATTTTATTTTTGAGACAGTTTCACTCTGTTGCCCAGGCTGGAGTATGGTGACACGATCTCGGCTCTCTGTAACCTCCACCTCCTGGATTCAAGCGATTCTTGTGCCTGAGCCTCTTGGGTAGGTGGGATTACAGGTGCACACTACCACACGCTGCTGATTTGTGTATTCCTAGTAGAGATGGGGTGTTGCCATATTGGCCAGGCTGGTCATCAACTCCTGATCTCAAGTGATCTGCCCGCTTTGGCCTCCCAAAGCTCTGGGTTTACCGATGGGAGCCACTGTGCTTGGCCTCAGTAGGTACTTTTGAAACCTTCGCCTCCCTCCCTTCCTCTCCCTTCTTGCATTTCCCAGTGCCTATCATTCCCATCTTTATGTCTGCGTGTACCCAATGCTTACCTTCCATTTGTAAGTGAGAACCTGCAGTATTTGGTTTTCTGTTTCTGAGTTAATTTCCTTAAGATAATGGCCCCAGCTGCATCTGTGTTGCTGCAAAGGACATCATTTCATTCTTTTTATGGCTGCATAGTATTCCAGGTGTATATGTACCACATTTTTTTTCATCTAACCCTCCACTGATGGATATCTAGGTTTATTCTGTGTCTTTGCTATTGTGAATAGTGCTGCAGTGAACATACAGGTGCATGTGTCTTTTTTAGACTTTTAAAGGTGTCATATTCTCAATCTCTCCTAGATCCAGGAAAGGCATAGAAAGGGGAGGCATGGCTGCATTGACAGAGATTTTCTACCGATGCAAATTTTCTCCATCTCCGTCTGCTAGTCCTGAGGCAGCCATTTCAAAATATGTCAAACGGATATATTTAGTGTAAAATATTTCTACTTTCTTCACTCCCTTCCGTCTTCAAAGCCAGCAATGGCTTGCCCAATCTATCTCATGTCGCATCACTCTGACACTGATTCTTCTGCCTCCCTCTGCCCCATGGGGACAGAAAAGGAAGGAAACCCCTATCTTTTTAACAGATGAGTCCATCCAGATAATCTAGTAGGTCCTCCTTATCTCAAGGTCATTTGATTAGAAGCTTTAACTCCATTTGTAACCTTAATTCCCTTTTTGTCATGCCATCCAACATATTCACAGGTTCTGAGGCCTAGGGTGTGGACATATAATTGGGGAACCATTATTCTGTTTACCACAGCTGGTCAGTTAAGTTTATACCTGTATGTAAAATGTCTCATTCCCAGATGATGTCCTCTTTCATCCATTTCCAATATTTTTCTGTGAATGAAGAGTAAGATAATTTGCAAATATCTAGTGACTATTCCCTCTTCCAGTGGAATCTGTGAACTTAAGGTTATCTCAAATTGAGAAAAGACAAACAAATCCTAAAAACTTCTCTATTCTTTTGGTTAAAAAAAAAAAGAAGGGGGCCGGGCGCAGTGGCTCACGCCTGTAATCCCAGCACTTTGGGAGGCTGAGGCGGGCGGATCACGAGGTCAAGAGATGGAGACCATCCTCACCATGATGAAACCCCGTCTCTACTAAAAATACAAAAATTAGCTGGGTGTGGTGGCACGCACCTGTAGTCCCAGCTACTCGGGAGGCTGAGGCGGAAGAATTGCTTGAACCCAGGAGGCGGAGGTTGCAATGAGCCGAGATCGCGCCATTGCACTCCAGCCTGGGGACAGAGCAAGACTCCGTCTCAAAAAAAAAAAGAAAAAAAAAAAAAAAAAGAAAAAGAAGGGTATCTTTTCTATCTCAGCAGCCAGTCACCAGCTCATGCAACAGATAGTCGTTACATTCCTTTCTTCTCGGACAAACTGGAGAGGCTATTCTTAGACACTGAGGGGATCCTGTTATACCAGTGCTTGTAAAGTGCCCTCTGACATCTGAATTTCAAAATTCACCAGTCCACCTGAGCCAAGACTCACTACATTTCCCCTCTGAGATCACCATTGGCTCCAAATGTTAATACAGCTAAAGGGAAGTTGGCATTGCACATTGGAAAATGTGTTACAGAATCATGCAAAATGAAGGAGGGTTTTAGGCAGGGATATTAATCTGCATGTGGAGGAAGGAAGGGAGGCAGGGAGGGCGGAAATGAGTATATATTGAACACCTGTCTAGCGCTACACAGTGCAACAGGTCTGCATATTGATTCACATATTCATTTAACAAATACCTGTTACATCCCTTTTTGATCAATACCCTGCATAGAGTCTAGGTTCTGGGCATATAGCCCTAAATGAAATGGAGACCTTGCCCAAAAGAAGCAGTGGAAGAGTCAGGCAATAAAGAAATATACAGAGAAAATAAATAATGTCATATGGTGATAAATTTCATAAACACATTAAGGAGACCAAGAGGGATAGAGTGATGGGAGACAGAAGGTGCTGGATGTTGCCCCATGATCCTGGGGGAGGGTGCTCCTATCACCAAAGCTCCGTACGCTACCTGGAGGCGTGTGGGATGGAGAGCTTGGTGGGATTCTAGCAATTACACAGTCTACTGTTACATGGTCCTTATATGTAAAAATCCCTACAGGTAGGTTGGGCTTCTCCCACCCCCATTGATAACCCTCAGACACATGATGATGGTGTCTAAAACAGGGCGGTGTTAGATATAGTGAACTCCAAGTTACACTTCAAAGAATCAGTATGTCAGCATGTTAAACTCTCTTACCTTAGAGTTTAAAATACAAAAATTAGCCTCGTCACCACACCAGGCTAATTTTTGTATTTTTAGTAGAGACAGGGTTTCACCATGTTGGCCAGGATGGCCTCAATCTCCTAACCTTGGAATCCACCTGCCTCGGCCTCCCTGAGTGCTGGGATTACAGGTGTCAGCCACCATGCCCAGCCCTGAAATCTCTTCAATACCTCTGAGGAGTCAGTTTGAAGAATTCCACAGTGAGGGGCAGCTCAGTCAGTGGACAGATGACAAGAAAGCAGTCTTTACAAAAGATAGTTTAAGGTCATTCCAAAGGGAGATGTCAAACCATCTTCTGTGGCCTTGACTCCTCCCTGGAGAGGAAAGGGTTATGCGCAGCCACAGCTGCTAGAAAGGAGAAGAATCACTTGATTTCTCTGTTGCCCTCTAGAGAGCCGCCTTCTCCGGAGGCTCTGCAGCCCACGCATGATAAATGGTGTTGCTGTTCCTCATGATTCACTCCCCTCTTAGCCACAGTCTTTGGCATGTAATCTTGCAGTTTCTCCCTCCTCCACTTTGGATAGAGTATCTTTCCTGCCCCATTGATAGAGGGCTTGGCCATGTAAATTGCTTTGGCCAATGTGCTAGTCGCAGACATATGCAAACAAGAGCTTGAAACATGCATGCGTCGTTAAACTTTCTCTCTTGCGTTTCCACCAGGGCCACGAGAACATGCTCGGAATAGCTTGCAGGTGATCCAAGGTGGATGACAGCTAAGTAACGCAACAGGAGCAAATCTACAACTTGGAGCCAAGATCAGCCAGGCTGAGTGCAGATCAGCTGACCCCAAGCCAAGTCCAGGCATGTGAAAAAGAGTAAGTGATTGTTGCTGAGTCACTGAATTATGAGGTATTTTCTTACATGGCATTATCGTTGCAATTTGGTGATTGATGCATAAGGCTCAACAGAATGTCCCCTGGGACACATCTTGATAGCAGCAACAAATATTCAAATAAGAGCTTTGAAGTGTCAGAGGAGGATTTTTTGAGAACATGGGGCCAAGTCCCTCCTGAAACATCAGCACAGAAAACTGTGCTGAAAAAATCTTATTAACTAGAAAACACCAGCGCTGACTTAACTCAGCGACTCCAAAAATCTAGGGTCATGCTTTCTTTAAGGCCAGCAAGCTCTGCTCTGCATTTGACCCCTGCTGGACTGAGTTATTTTGGATCTGTTCTTGTGACTCTAGGGCTTAAAATAGTCACTGCTGAGCCATCTGTCTTGGGATCCATCTCACTTCTGAAAGGTATAGCAGCTGTGGCTGAATTGAAAGCAGCTCCTGTTAAGAAAGTGAACAATCTCTCGGCTTTTCTCCATCCTATGAGTGTGCCCGAGGGAAAAAATAAAATAGAGGGCATTTGGCTGTCAAAGAAGGATAAGAGCTTTTCGAACCTGGGAGATGCCGGGCAGATAGGAAACGGGAACTGGGACAGCTGCCAGAGGGTCTGGAAAGGAGCCAGGTTAAATAAAGTTCAGGCGAAGATGCCGCCGGCTGGAGGTGGCGAGGGAGGATGGCGCAGGGCGTGGCTGTGGGACAGCAGAGCAGCAGGCGTGCTAGGAAAGGCTGTGGGGGTCGGGAGACAGAGGTCCCCAGACCAAGACTCAGCGTAAGCACCACCGTTGTCACTGTGCGACCCTCTGCAACTCTGTGCAGCTCTCAGCCTGAGCCTTCCCACCCTTACCGTGAAGTTAATAACATTTATCTCAGGTTGCAAGAGTCCATCGAATAATTCAAACAGGGACCAGATAAACTGTATAGACCTAAGTAAGAATGTCACCGATCCCACGCAGGCGAAGATGATCATTTCAACAAGGCTAACGCCGGGAGCTGCCATTTCTACTATTTCATGGTGTATTTCCAGTGTACTTAGTGCACTATATATTACTAAAATAGATAATATAATATGTATTGTATATACAAGACTCGTTTTTTTTTTTTTTTTGAGATGGAGTTTCGCCCTTGTTACCCAGGCTGGAGTGCAATGGCGCAATGTCGGCTCACCGCAACCTCCGCCTCCTGGGTTTGGGCAATTCTCCTGCCTCAACCTCCTCAGTAGCTGGGATTACAGGCACGCGCCACCATGCCCAGCTAATGTTTTTGTATTTTTAGTAGAGATGGGGTTTCACTGTGTTGACCAGGATGGTCTCGATCTCTTGACCTCGTGATCCACCCGCCTCGGCCTCCCAAAGTGCTGGGATTACAGGTGTGAGCCACCGCGCCCGGCAAGACTCTCTTGTATATACAGATATACAGCTGTATATACAGTCTCGTATGTACAGCAAGACTCTGTCTCAAAAAAAGAATCATTTATTGACTTTATGATATATTATAGAAATAGATAAAATATAATACACAGTTTATAATAATATATAATTATATTGTATATAATATATAATTATAATAATTATATTGTTTTATATAATATATAATATATTAAATGATTGTATTATTTTATATAATATATGATATATAATGATTATATTATTTATATAATATATAACAGTAATGATTATGTTTTATATAATATATAATAATGATTATATTATTTTATATAAAATATAATAATATATTATATATATGATATATATTAGTCTGGCATATACACACATGCTGGAGAGACACACACTCAAAAATTTAATTATTAAATCAGTAAATGCCATTAATACACGTACCAAAAAATGTTATTTCCATTCCTGGAAAAGTAAGAAACAGCTGTTGTCATTAGCTAGAGACCCCCTGGAAGCTGGGTTCTTACACATGATAGAGAGCAGCAGTCACCTTGCTGCCTCACAGTCACCTCAGAGCAGAAGAAGCAGAAAGGTGGGTTGCTGGTGCAGAACTCGGGGAAGCTTGTGGTCATGAAGAAGAGGCAGGCTGCTGGAGAAAGTCCCGGTCCTCCGTCTCTGTTTCCTAAGGCTCCTCTCTTCCTTGCTTGCACCCGCTAGGACATAGTGTTTACATAAAGCCTGGTATCAGACAGACCCTGGGTTTCCATTGACAACCTGCCCAGTCTTTGCGAAGTTGCTTAATCCCTTCTCTATGTGTCATTTACTCACCTGTGAAATGGGTATTAACAGCCAGCTTACTTCCGTGGGAGCAGGGTCAGCCAACTGCAACCTGTGTGCAAGCTCGGGCCAGCTGCCTGTTTTTCTACGTAGAGTTCTGTGGGAACATAGCCAACCTCACTCAGTTGCATCTTGTCTATGACCATTTTTATACTTCAGTGGCAGAGTTGAGTAGCTTCAACAGGGACCAGATGACCTGCGAAGCCTCAAATAGTCACTATCAGGCCCTTTATAGAAAGTGTTTGCTACTTCCTGGTTTGAGGATCCAACAAGCTAACACACGTGAAACCCCTAACACAGAAACTGGCCAGGCACGGTGACTCACGTCTGTAATCCCAACACTTTGGAATCTGAGGTGGGTGGATCACTTGAGGTTGGGAGTTCAAGACCAGCCTGACCAACATGGTGAAACCCCGACTCTACAAAAATACAAAAGTTAGCTGGGTGTCTTGGTGTGCGCCTGTAATCCCAGCTACTCGGGAGGCAGAGGCAGGAGAATCGCTTGAACCCAGGAGGCAGATGTTGCAGTGAGCTGAGACCCTGCCACTGCACTCCAGCCTGGGTGACAAAGCAGGACTCCATCTCAAAAAAAAGAAAGAAAGAAACATATCATCATGTTCTGGAATGGGCTGAACATTAAAGTTTTCCCCTTGCAACTTCACTCAACCCTACTTGGACTTCAAGAAAGCTGGGCATCGATTGTCTATTAACTTGCAGCCATTGATTTAGTCCTATTCAAGAATTATTTATTGAGTGGGAGACTGAGGCATGAGAATCACTTGCACCCAGGAGGTGAAGGTTGCATTGAACCAAGATTGTACCACTGCACTCCACCCTGGGCAACAGAGCAAGACTTTGTTTAAAATACTAATAATAATGAGTATTATCTATTGACCTTCTGGGCCAGAATATTAGTAGTGAACTCTCAGTTTTATTGTTTTATTATCAACATAGATTCATAACTCAACTAGGATTTATCAAGGACTGGCTATCTGTCAAGCATTGTGCAAAGGTTTTTATATACAATTGGCTCTTTGTATTTGTGGGTTCTACATCCATGGATTCAACCAACCAACCAAGAATCACCAATGTGTGGGAGGCTTATGCTTGTGATCTCAGCGACTCAGGAGGCTGAGGCGGCAATGATAATTTGAGCCCAGGAGTTTGAGGCTGCTGTGAGCTGTGATGGTGCCACACCGGCGACAGAGAGACTCAGTCTCTATCAAAACAAACAAACAAACAAAAATTAAAAGACAATAAAAAATACAAATTAAAAAACCTATACAGTATTATAACAACCATTTACATAGCATTTACATTGTATAAGGTATTAGACGCAATCTAGAGATCATTGAAAGTATACGGGAGAATGTACATTGGTTATTTGGAACTATGACATCACTACATCGTTCTGTAGCATAAGGGACTTGAGCCTTCTTGGATTTTGGTATCTGAGGTGGGTGGGGACTGGACGGTGGAAGACGGGTCCTGAAACCAATCCCCAATGTATGTCAAGGGAGAACTGTACATGGTTTTATTGAATCCTCGGAACAGCCCTTCATGGTTTTAGAGTTGACCGTGCAGAGTCCCACCAGCATTAGCTGGCATACCCAGGTCACGGAGCTAGCAAGAGGGTCAGAATTTGAACCAAGTTTTCGGATTGCTATCTCAGCATCCTCTCAACTTCTCAATGACACTTTATAAAAGAAGGCATCCAAAGAGTTGCCCAGAACACAGCTGGTGCAACTTGAAACACATGCCTTCGGTGATAAAGTAGAAGCTTCCTTGGGAGGTGTAGGTGGGCAGATCATCTGAGGTCAGGAGTTCGAGATCAGCCTGGCCAATATGGCGAAATCCACCTCTACTAAAAATACAAAAATTAGCCAGGCATGGTGGCAGGCACCTGTAATCCCAGCTACTTGGGAGGCTGAGACAGGAGATTTGCTTGAACCCAGGAGGCGGAGGTTGCAGTGAGCCGAAATCATGCCACTGCACTCCAGCCTGCACAACAAAGAGCAAAATGCCATCTCTCTCTCTTTTTTTTGTTTTTGGAGACAGAGTCTCGCTGTGTCGCCAGGCCCCAGGCTGGAGTGCAGTGGTGTGATCTCGGCTCCCTGCAACCTCCACCTCCTGGGTTCAAGGGATTCTCCTGCTTCAGCCTCCCAAGTAGCTGGGACTACAGGCATGTACCACCACACCCAGCTAATTTTTTGTATTTTTAGTAGAGATGGGGTTTCACTGTGTTAGCCACAATGGTCTCCATCTTCTGACCTCAGGTGATCTACCTGCCTCGGCCTCCCAAAGTGGTGGGATGACAGGTGTGAGCCACTGTGCCTTGCCTGTTCCTTTACTTTCTTAATAAACTTGTTTTCACATTATTCTATGAACTTTCCTCCAATTCTTTCTTGCCTGAGATCCAAGAAACCCGTCTTGGGTTCTAGATGAGGACCCGTTTCTGCTAACAAGACTATAGGTTGACACCAGCTTGTAGGGTAGCTCTGGGGGAGGAGTAGACGAGGACCCCTTCTAAAGAAAACCAAATCCCCCAAATAAGAATGTTTAAATTCTCCTTTGTTCAGCAGAGACCCTTGAAGCCAATCTACTCTTTAAGATAAAGTTTTCCACTCCACAAGATTTAATGACGTTGTGTATTTTCAACCTGCTTTTCCAGGCAAATTTATAGAATGTAGTAAATCTTCCAGTGTTGAAAGGTAGCCGCAGCTAAAGTTTTCTGTGTTCAGTTGCCCAAAGTGAAGCTCTATCTAAACATGACCTTCAACCGGGTTGACTTCTGTGTCTTCCTGCTGTCTCCTGAGAAAGGTGGCTATTGCTGGTGGTTCGATTCTGATACAGGAGCTAAAAAGAAATAGGCAGATAGTGAGGGAAGAGAGCCCTCGGTAAGGTTTTTCTTTTAACAACAAAAAAAAGCAGCCCCCAAATAATTTCTTTGCAGCAAACGTCAGCCTGTGAAATCAAGCTGCAGACATAGAAAAGCAAGATCGAAGCTTGCTTGAGTAAATGCTAGCGGCTGTCCCAACAGTAAAAGGCCACGTTGGGCTAGGCATCTAGCAGGTCATGACTTACAAGTGTTTCTTCAGCCTTGGTCGTGCAACTGTTGTTCTCCAGCCTCTTTTTGCTGGAATCGCTTTGACCTTCAGGGCAGCCTGACTGAAAAGGACTGAAGATGACCCACAGCTGCTCAAGATGCCCCTGCCTCAGCCTCCCGAGTAGCTGGGATTACAGGTGCCCGCCACCACGCCCAGCTCATTTGTTTTTTGTGTTTTTATTAGAGATGCAGTTTCACCACAAATCA